CCTTCGAACACCACCAACCATTTAGGGCGCCCAAGCACCCAAGAGTAATAAGCTTCTCAACTTGTAACTTCCACGTATCACCGTGGAGAACTCAAACCGATGCACCAAATGCAATGGCAAGGGCACACGGAGTGCCCAAGTCCTTCTCTCCCAAATTCCACCAAAGCAACTAATGCTAGGGAGGGAAATGAGAGGAAGAACACCAAGAACTCCAAGATCTAGATCCAAAGGGTTCCCCTCACATAGAGGAGAAAGTGATTGGTGGAAATGTGGATCTAGATCTCCTCTCTCTCCCCCCCCCCAAAAACTAGTAAGAATCCATGGAGGGATTGAGAGTTAGCAAGCTCTAAGAAGGTCAAAAATGGGGGAAGAACACGAGCTAAAGGGATAGGGTCCATCGGGGAAGAAGGCCCACTTAAATAGGCACCCCTGAATCCAACCTTTATGCCCACTGGTCGTGCACAAGCGGTACTACCGCTTGGAGGAGCGGTACTACCGCTTAGCACGACCAAAACAACCCAACGAGGCAGAAAACACAAAAAGTCGATCTACCAGAGAGGTAGTACTGCTCTGGGGAGAGGTACTGCCGCTTGAGCAGTACTACTGTACTACTGCTTAGGGAAAACACGCAACAGAAACAAGCACAACCATTGAAACACAAGAGGTACTACCGCTTGAGAGGTCCTACCACTCTACTACCGCTTAGAGAAAATTTGCAATAGAAACATGCACAAAAGACTTTGCCCAAGTGGTAGTGGCAGCGGTAGTCCACAACAGAAGTACCGCACGTGGTACTACCATGGTACTAAGCAGTACTACCGCTTGGGTGCTGCAAAATAGCCCAAGAAAAACAGAAGAAACAGGTTGGACCGAAACAGTCACAACAATTGCATAAGAGCTCTGAATTGAGCAAACTCAAGCCTGTTGGATAGCTGATGACGAGTAGCATCCAATAGCGACTGGTTAAAATAAGAAGAGGCAGGGGAGGTATGCCTAAGATATAGAGGAGAGAAACCTCCAAAAGAGAAGAGCTGACAAAACCTCCAACATCGAAAACATCTTAGAAGATGCATGTGAACTCCGTTTTCGATGAACTCGAGCTTGTCATCAAGATGAACATAATCTCTAAATCTCACAAGGAGAAGAACCAAACAAGAACCAGTAAAGATGATGCAAGGATGCAATGGTTTGAGCTCTCTACGAACGATACGATCAAGATATTCATCAAGAGCCCCCCTTGATAGTACGACAATCGATCCTATAGCCCGGTCTCCTAACTACCACCATGAGACCGGTAAAATAGAAAACCTATCAAGGGAAAACCCTTGCCTTGCACATAGTCCACTTGAGTTATATGATGACGATCTTGACTCCCTCAAGTTGGACCATCTTTCTTGATTGCGTTGGCTCGATGAATACTAGTTGATTGCTCCCCCATACTCCGCTATGGATGAGCCACTCTTCGACACATCTTCACAAGTCCATTGTCGCCACAATGGACGACAAGCTTCAAGTATGATATCTTCGTGATGCTCCACTTGAACTTGCACACCACAACCTAACCCCACAAAGAACTCTCACGAATACCATGGGTTAGTACACAAAGCATAATGGACAATGCTTACCATACCATGGGATCACTTGATCCCTCTCGGTACATCTTCTACGCTTTGTGAGTTGATCAACTTGATTCACTCTTGACTTAGTCTTGATCAACCTTGAATCTTTCCAATTCTCTTCATTTGGATGATGTCTTGAAGGTAAACATGAATGATCACACAATCTTCTTCTCCAAGACATGCTTGCAATAAGCTTAACACTCACATGGCCAATCTTTGGATAATTCCTTAATAGCACCTTGGTCAACTCATAAACTACTTGAAACCAACACATGCACTTCAAGAAATTCCTATGGACAAAACCTTCAAATATAACTCAAGGAAACCATTAGTCCATAGAGATTGTCACCAATTACCAAAACCACACATGGGGGCACCACATGTTCTTTCAATGACGTATTCCGTTGCCTTATGAATCTAGGCCCAAGCATACATACCGTATAGCGCAATCAACTCGGGATCCGCCATTCCATCATAGTCCTCAATGATCACTCCATAGCCCCTGAAGATCCAATTTTCTCCATGCACTACCTTCTTCCAATCTCCCAAGTAGAACGTCTGGAAGAGGAATAGATTCTCCCCAGCTTCACAAAACTTTGGTGTTTGGTCGAGCCACCATGCCAGCTGCATCGCACTCCCTGCTTGTAAAAACATCTTATATTATGGGACATATGGAGTATTAAACATATCCTCCAAGCAAAAGGGCATGTTGGCGTTGACCCGTGCGATCACTACCCAGGTATTTGGCGTCACGCTCGAATTACCTCACTTCCTGTTTCTTGGTCACCACGCCGTACAACTCATAATCGAACCAGATGTTGCCGCCATGTCTAGGGTTTTGGAGAAGAACACACGAGCCCCACAAGGAACCTCTCACCCACTTGCGGAGCTTCAGCTAGGCCAAAATGGGCCATTACCCGCCCTAGCCAGAGCAAAAATAGTGAGGGACTAAGACCATATTGGGCCCATGAGAGGAAATAAAGTGGGCTTTATTTGTACCGGCCCGCCCAGATTGGAAAATGTAGCTCCGCCACTGCTCTCGCCCCCCGTCACTCGTGAAAGAGGGTAGCGATCTGGTAGAGAATTGCTACGAAAACTCATGTCAACGATGCGAGATCGCCGACTGAGAGGGTAATTTTTTTCCAAGCACTGGATTACCATGTTTTTTTACACAAGCATGACCACTTATTTATTATTTTTACACAAGGATGACCACTTATTTAAGAAGGAATTCGTTCGAAGTAGTCCTGGCCATGGGTAGCCCGACCCGACGATTCACCCGGGCCGGGCCCGATCCTAGATTTTGAGCCCAAAGGCCGGGCTAGGCCTGGGCCTGGGCCCGCCGTTTTAGCGATTTACTGAAGGGGCCCGGTTTAAGGCCCAACGGTCTTTTACACGTGCGGGCCGGGCTTGGGCCTGATGTTCTAGACCTGATGCCCGGGCCGGGCTGGGCATGGGTTTTCTGTGTCAGGCCCGGCCCGGCCCGAGGGATGGCCAGGTATAGTTCGAAGTGAGAAAAAGCTATTCTATGGGCCCAGGAGAGACACTAGTACTGCCGACATTTGGCCCAACATCTCACCACTGAGAAGAGCGCCTCCATTCCCGGCTAAGTTATTCTATCGTTGCCAGTAGGTACCGCTATTACATCCACCGTTCCTCACTTTCCTCAAGATTTGTGCCACCATCCTCACTTTCCTCAAGATTTGTGCCACCAGCTTCTGTATAAGTTAGTAATCACACAGGAACATTTATGCAATGGGAATACCTCTGTCCACATGTAGTATCTTTTGTGGATCACATCTCCAATTGATGCTCTACATGAATGTTCAAATTAATGAAGGTTAGTGTTGCAGTGATATAGTATTATTTAAACGAAAGGAAAAATGAATTTAAGTAATTAAATACCTGCTTAATTTCGGATGTTGCAGCTCTCTTTAGCTTTTTTGGAGATGTTCTACGGCTGTTCCTTGTTGATTTTGACTGAGAGGATACATCACTATCACTCATGTCCAAACTACCACCTTCATCAGAGTTAGTTCTTTGAAAGCTGGGTGATTTCCGGCGACGGCGTGCCGAATTAGTCATCTGTTAATCACATATTTAGAATTAAATATTCAGCTATTGCAGCTATAATTAATTGGGGTTAGAAAGACAATTAAGTTTTCAGTAAGTAAAACATTTCAGTCTAGTTGTATCTTACTGTAAATACAATATGATTTGAAATTTTTGAAATGTCCAGTACAACTTATTATTTCAATAAGAACTGGACTACTGTAGAATAGTAAATTCATTGCAAGGAACAGATTGCATTATAAATATGTATTTCAACTAATCCAATAGAAGTGTTTGTTCTCTAGTAGCAACTGCCCTCAGAAGAGTGATTTCATTGTCAGGAACACATTTCAGTGCTAAAATAATATTTCAATAACAACTGAACTTATGTAGAAGAGTGATTTCATTGTCAGGAACACATTTCAGTGCTAAAATAATATTTCAATAGCAACTGAACTTATGTAGAAGAGTGATTTCATTGTCAGGAACACATTTCAGTGCTATAATATTTCAATAGCAACTCCACTCAGTAAAACTAAAAACACATTTCAGTGCTAAAATAATATTTCAAGAGCTACTCCACTCACTACAACTACAAACACATTTCAGTGCTACCAATTTCATTGCTGCCCGTTTCAAATTTCAGAACAATCATCACATTACTAGGAGGTTTCACTGCAGTGCATCCATTTATCATTAGTCTTGCTGTAGAGAAGTTCTTCAATGGACAAGCTATCTGATTAAGGACTATACAAATGGGGATCTAGGGTTAGAAAGTAGGGCTATCTGATTAAGGACTATACGTATGAAGAATCAGAAACATAAATGAGGTATTTGTATCCCAGGCAAGATCCATAAAACCAGTGTGGTATATTCCGGTATTTTTCAAGATCTTTCCAAAAACAAATCAAAGGACAGCAGGCAATGAAAAGAGGGAAGAAAAAAGAGACAAAAATAGACGGAATATATTACCGTGAAGAACTAGACCAGAGGGCAGAGGAGGCGACCGAAATCACCACGGTCAAGCAAGCAGAACGATGCCCGGCGGCGGGGAAAAGCACGGCGGCGGGGGGTAAAGAGAAAGAGTTAAAACAGGTGGGACCAAATGTTGATGCGACATAATGGTGAATACCGACGGGTAAATCTAGAATACACTGGGATACAAAGATGTAGGCCATCCAGCAGCACGAATCACGACGAAACACCAACGGTGGATGGTTGGCCGGTACATACCTCCACCGGTAGCAAGGAGTTTGCGCCTCCATTCCCTAATCATTCCTCACCCCTCCTCTCCCCAAACCCTCGCCGTCATCACCTCCACCGGCGGCCATGGACGACCCGCAGGTTATCCTCGGCACCTCCAGGAGCGATATGCTCGCCTGCTTGGAGCGCGACGGCCAGGACCCTGCAACGCTGGACCTCGGCTCAAACATGATGCTCCACTTCGTGTAAAAGTACCTCCCGGACCCACCCGTCTCCCCCGCCGCACCCCTCTCGCTCGCCGGCGCGTCGTGGGTCCCCGACGGTGTCGACCGCATCAGCCGCCTCCCCGACGTGCTCCTCCACAACATCATCTCCCGCTTGCCCGCCAAGGACGCCGCGCGCACCGCCGCTCTCGCCTCGCGCTGGCGCCCCCTCTGGCGCGCGGCGCCTTTCTCTCTTGTCGACAGCCACCTGCTTCCCGACGGCGGCGCGGCCGGGCAGTTCCCCATCGGCGCTCCCTCTCCCCGGGCAGTCGCCGGCTC